CATTAAATTATTCCCCTGAATACTCAGTTAGCTGTACATTGCCAGCTATTAGGAGATAGCTATATTTGAGTTATTATGTAATATTAATAACATTCTGATTGTCTTGTGTCCACTACAATGAAGTTTTCTGTTTTGTGGCACAAATGCTCACCACCCCCCAAACACACACCTCCCACCTGCTGGCGCCCTCACTTGCTCTTCCCTCTTGTTCATGAGTGTGTACACATGCAGCACTGACAGGGATAACATGGTTTATGACACAGTGAAACACACTTTTCTCTGGAACTGTTCAGTTTACTCATTAATTTTAGAGAAGCAAAGAAAATTAACGATTCATCAACCATTACGTTTCCTTAGAAATATTTTCTCCCACAGAATACACAGTCAATAAATTTAAAGATCTTTAAATGTATGCTGTGAATTGAACTACAAGGGAAAAAAATGAGGTACTTGTTCACAGGCTTGGCTGTCTTAAAATACTGTCTATTTGAAAAACTCCAAGATTAACTTGTAATTGTATCTTTTAAAGCCATTTAGTTTCAAGAAATAGACATAAGTCTCTTCCTTCAAAGGAAATGTCTGAGTGTGGAAACTGACATCATATAATCTGGCTGACCTTACCAAAATATGGACTCTCAGGTCTGCTTAAAAAAGTTAAATCCAGTTGACTTTACATAATAATGAACTCTCTTCCTCTTTTGCAGCCATGTAACTATTTAGTGATTTGTGGTAGCCGTGTCTTCCAGACACTGCATACTCAGTATTCAAAAAGGAAATTAGGTTATAAAATAGTGTGCTGAATATAGTCAACTCTGTTCACTGAGGAATCACAAACTAAAAAACACAGATGAGATGGAACTAATGGCAATTTATAGTTGGAAAGAAACTGAGAAAGGAAAAACTCAGACAAATGAGAAATTACAGATTAGAAGTCAAAAGGCCTACACAAATTCTTGGGCTAGTTCCATTGATAATTTACTGGTTTGGGCGGAAGTCATTCAACCTTGACTGCTCTTATGCCACATGGGTACATTCAAGCATTTATTTGGTGGCTACTAAATACCCACAGCCTTGCTAGATTGTGGAGATAAGACTGCCTTCCCTAAAAACTTCTAACAGAAGAGGTAAAGCCTGGTAGTTGGCTCTCAATATTTTCTCAACTGTGAGACTCCCAGTGGTGGGACTGCCACAGAAGCTTGTTATAGGAGTAAATCTCAACAGTTCAGTCCGTATTGGAAAAGCACCTCTAAGAAATTTCCACAGACCCCCATTCCCCACACACACGGCCTTTGAGAACTGCTGGTTTAGAAGGATCTTGCCACTTCAAAGGCAGCTCTCAGGACAAAATAACATTACAGGAGGAATGAAGACCTAATAAAAGAAAATGAAGGGCTGATAAATGAAGACCTAACAATGCAATGTGATTGTATCATTTACATCATCTCTCTACACAGACATTACTGCGAACTTTAGCATTTGTTCGTAGAGGTTAGTAATAATATTTTGGTGCTACTTTATAATTTCTAAAACCTGTACAAACATCATGTTTTCAGGTAATTTTTCATGGCAATGTTCGGGTAGGGCGGCACTACTTCTCCATTTATAGGCAAAGAAACTGAGGCCCGGAGAAGTTAAATGACTTGTCTTAATCTCATACCTAGTGAGTGATATCAAAAATTAAAACTAAGTTTCTCACCCTTAAAGTTGTTTTTTTTTTTTTTTTTTTTTTTTAAGGACAGAAAGGTTCTTAAACCTTCAAGGCAAATAAGTGATACAAATTTAAAAATAAACCTATAAACTCATTTGTAAGATATGATAATATGACTATTAACTGATATTATTGGCAAATAAGGTACTTTGGAAGAGAGTTCTAAGTGTTTTTATATTAAATGTTTAAGAAGAAAAAAATAAGCTCACGCATACGTCCCATTAAACAGAGCATACACACACAAATTTATACTTTAAAAACATAATTTACCATCTGCATACACAGTCACTGCTATGCTATTACAGTAAGCTTTAGGGTGATGCCCTGTAGAGCATAAAGCCTTGAGGACATTAACTCAAAACTCAGGCGGGTATGCTTTTCCTCTTGCCTGTTCTCTAGGGATTCTCTTCACGTTCTATGCCTGGTGTCATTATTTCCTTTCAGTTTTAAATGACTTCCCTCATCTCAGCTCCCTCTACCTACCTTGCCCAGAATTCTCTGCTTCTGTAATCTAAGGAGGGACTTAGGGACATTGGAAACAAACTTTGTAAGTATTTAAATATACAAACATACATCCACGCATATGTTTATGTATATACATACAGAGTCACATATATACACACAAACTAAGAGTACTGAACTGTGCCTTCTTAGTGCATACATCACTTTCTTTGTTAGAGTCAAGGACGCATGAATAGACTAACATATAGGGTATAATTTTCATAAACTCAGGAACCGATGTAGCAAAATAACAAGACTATATTATGAGATTTAGAATCCAGACTTTAGGTTGGAGTCCTACAACTTGAGTAAGGGTCTAACTTTGGTCTAATGATTAGGACTGAACTGGATGACTAAGTCTGATCCGAAAGGTCTTCATCTAGAAAAGGAAAATAACACCTATATACCATGATTTTGTGAAATGTGTGTTGTAAATTTTATAAAGTTTTATAAAAATAATCTCTTGTTAATTCAAAAATATTTTCTATAAAGATAGCCATATTTCCCACATATTTATCCTCTCCCACACACACAGGAGAAGAGTAAATAAACACAAAATACAAAAACACAAAAACAAATAGGTCTTCACTCGCATGAAGTTTAGATTTTAAATTTATAGCACTGTTTCATGCAGGTGAATGATTAAAGCCTAATTCCCAAATCAATACAAAATAAACTATATTAATACAAGTCTTAAAAGGCATTTACCAAGTTTCATTATCCATAGATCAATCAGCTTTCCAATGAAGGAAAAATTTGTGCCTGCATTTAGGTTTCTGTATGCTTATTTATAACTGAGCTATAAAAACAATTCCTTATGTACTTCTACAGAAACTACTTAAAACAAGAAAAAGCAAGCAAGAACTTCTAGAAAACCTTAGTGCTTCAGAAGTAGAGAAGGGTCAGATTCTACAAATAACCAAAATATGGGTTCTGACATGAAGCTGGATCCATAGGTAGGGCCAGCTGGCCAGCAGGGACTCCCACTGCCTGCTCCAAAACGCCCTTCTCCACGTCACTTTATTTTGACAGACCACTTGTTTACTAATTAAGTGAACCAGAAAGGGGGATTCTTATATTGGAAAGTACAAAGTGGCCTTAGGAAGGTGCCGGATGTAAACTTCAACTATTTATCTTCTACTGAGCCAATCATATAATTAAGGAAAGGGGGAACCAGGCAGGGGAAGCCTTATAAAAGCAAACTGACTTCAGTACTGTACAAATTTATTTTTCCTACTTTCTGAAAAACTGGCCTTCTGGTAACAGAACCCACATTTTCCTAAGGGAAACGTCCTTCCCCATACCTGGTCTAGATGGTTCAGGTTGTCCGACTCCAGCCAGAACTGGCCTATCTGATCACTGCCTTTTCCAGCCACAGGGACTGGAGCAGAGGGAAGCACGTGAGCCAAGTTGAATCTGAGGAGATTCCACTGGGAGCTTTTACAGGAACAGAAAACCTCTTTTTAATGGAGGTCTGGTAGCTGTCTCAGCACCATGACAGAATGTGCATGAGAACAGAGCCAGAACAAAACCAAGAGTGAGTGGGACTGAGTTCTAATGACCTGGCTTAAGACCATGGTTTGCCTGAAGCCAAGCCTACACTAGGACTTTCCAGCATATGGGCCAATGAATTTCCTCTGGTGCTTAAGCCAGTTTGCTGAATTCTCTATCACCTGTAACCACAAGCTCATAATCCTGAGAAAGAATTACTGAGTTCCTTCTACCAATTCAATGGTAGGTTTGAGGACTACCAAATAATTAATAGTGTAAATAATGTAAAAATCATGTAATATCAATTAAGGCTAAATCAATCTCCAAAGAAAGAATAATTACTTGGTTAACTTTTTCATTCCACAGTTAAAGATACGATCTTGTGGTCTCCGGCAAAACAGAGGGAAAGCATTCAAGTCACTTATGTTTAAGCCTCTGAAGCACCAAATCATCTCTAAGCAAACTTCGCTGAGAAATAAACCTTAGGGAGACGTCATGTGGAGCTCCTTAGTGAATATAATTGTCCATTACACAATGAAACTCTTACTAATAGCAAAAATTCTACACTTTCACCGGACACAATTTTCAACATCAATGAAACCATCTCGTCTAAGTCTGATGGTAAATAACTCTTTGTAAGTCAGGATGGGGAGAGGTAAAAATAAACTAAAGACTATTTCTCTTTCAGAAGTACAAATTTGGGGCAGAAGCAAAAGCTAGCCTAACTATGCATAGTGAATATCAGGCAGGTATTTCATTTAATATGCTCATTCGGAAACTTTCAGGAAAAATAAAGGCAGGACTCACACAGGGACCTGGAGCTTGAACCAGCTGGTAAATGCAATTATTCTGTATGGAACACAACTTAAATCACAGACTTGATTCTGATATTAATGTTTTAATTTGCCACAAACATATATTTATACAGAAACCCAGAAAAGGCAGAAATCACATATTCTGTGTGCGCCTAGTAAAACTGCTATTCCAGATCACACAAATTAAATTTATGATGACACAGAATTATTTTTCTGAGTCTCACTGAAAAACAAAATGTGACAATCAAAAAAAGAAAAAACCTCTTTGGTGATCCTTGCTCAGAATTTCAAATTTTGCTCATTAAATATTGCTCAGTGGAAAGTCTCCAGGTGGTTTTTATATAAAGATCTATTACTATTTATCACTGACAGATTACATCAAAAATCTTTTTGAAGAATTCCTAATAATGCTATAGCATTAGCTGTGCAAGTAAACTACATACTAGGAAAAAGTATGTAAAAGGAACACCCACATGAACATTTACCTTCCACTGCTCTTTTGAAGAAAACTTTGCAGCTGCCACAGGTGACTACCCCATAATGACATCCTGAAGCCTCATCCCCACACACCAAACATATTTTTGAAGGTCTTGAAGATCCAGTAGAAACACTTCGTAAAGTAGAGCTGGGGAAAGAAATTGAGATTTAAATAACTACGCTGTAATGGCACATGTAACATGCTGCACAGCTTAGCTCAAATTTTGTCAATAACCATGGTTCCTTACATGAATTCAGTATATAATGGTCACATACTACGTGACTTAGCAAAATAAAGGTAAAACCCAAGGGGTGGAGCAAAGCTATCAAGACTATTGTATAGCAAAGCCTCTTCTCAGTACTGATAAGTAAGAAATAATCAAATGTAAACCTCTTTCCTTCTTTTCCTATTTTTGGAGAGGGTTTACCAAAAAACCACATTCTTTGCACTTTAAGTGGGCAGTGCAAAGAATCTGGAACCAAGTCACCAGGAACATATTTGCTGTCCTTTTGTTTCTGCATCAAAGAGCTGTTATAATACTAATCTACTAATCAACACTCTTCACTCAGACTCATTTTACATATCTCAATTATGCCAAAAAAAATTTTAAACCTCCTCTTTCCAAAATAATCCACTAATTAAAAAAGTGTATTTTGTCTCAACTGACAGCAATTTTATCCCTCTAAGCTCCTGCATTTTTTCATGTTATCTTATATAGGTTGGTTCTAATTACTTCATCTTGCTTACTAATTTGAAGGACACAGTCAATAATAAAACAAAAAGCAAAATATGGTAAATATCTCAGGTGTCTTTCATGGCAAGGGCTCTCTGGAAAACAGTTTTTAGGGACAAATGTAACCCTTTAGGCAACAATCTGTTTGAATACTTTTTTAAGGGGACTCTTCTCAAGATATATTGATATATTATATGGCACTGTGCTAGTTGATGACACTCTCTAAACAAAATATTTTAACTTCTGATAAGGAATTGTAGTTCAGTGGCAATTTAGATATGTACCAAGCAGGCAAACAAGTTGATTTTTCAATTTACAGTCCACATATATTTTTTTTAATATTTACCTGCAGGTCCTGTGGAAGATACCAAGGGAAAAAATACAGAAATTCAGTCTCTGCCCTCAAAGTTGGTGGGGGCATAAACTATTATGAAGATCTAGTAGCAGCACTTCATAAAGTACAACCAGGGAAAATGCTATGGTGCAGGGTAACAGGAGGCAGCACACTGAATAAAGGAATTACAAAACATTTCCCCAAATGTCACAGCTAACCTAAGTTTTGAAGCTTGACTAGGTGAGAGCCAGAGTAAGAAAGGGAGCAGAGGTGGCCAGGCATGGTGGCTCATGCCTGTAATCCCAGCACTTTGGGAGGCCAAGATGGGCAGATTACCTGAGGTCAGGAGTTTGAGACCAGCCATGACCAACATGGAGATAGCCCGTCTCTACTAAGAATACAAAATTAGCTGGGCGTGAACCAAGTCATCAGGAACGCATTTGCCGTCTTTTGTTTTTGCATCAAAGAGCTGTTATAATTCTGCTCAACACTCTTCACTCAGACTCACTTTACATATCTCAATTATGCCAAAAAATTTTTGGCATAATTTTAGTGCATGCCTGTAATCTCAGCTACTTGGGAAGCTGAGATGGGAGAAATCTCTTGAACCTGGGAGGCAGAGGTCGGGGTAAGCCAAGATTGCACCACTGAACTCTAGCCTGGACAACAAGAGCGAAACTGTCTCGAGAGAGAGAGAGAAGAGAGAGAGAGAGAGAGAGAGAGAGAGAGAGAGAGAGAGAGAGAGAGAGAGAGAGAGAGAGAGAGAACAGAGGCAACAGAACGTGCAGTGGCTCAGAGAAACGAAAGCTGGATGGACTCAGAAAACTCTGGCTGGAGTTACTCCATGTCACCTCTGTCACCTTGCTGTCAAAGCTTTTGCCTCCATGCCAAACAGCAGAAACATAGAAAAATGACAACGAAAAGGCTAAAATGGTTATGTTCCAGGATGATTTCTCTATTTTTCAAGTCTGCTAAAGTGTGATAATATTGTGTTAATATTTGTTTAAAGTATTGTGAACCATACTTTCACCAAAAACAGATGAAAGACCAAGCTACATGGCTGCTTGGAGCATGCCTGCCTTTCTAGAAAATGACTTCTTAAATCAAGGACTGAAATAACGTTCTCCAAAGTTGTGTCTCCCTCTGAGAAGAGCGCTCTTTATTATTTTTATTGGTATCCTTTGACTTCTTTATGGCATTCAAAACATTCCATTTCAGCACCAGTAACTTCTTCAACATATTAGCCAGTAAAACTCAATCCATACCCTGTCTGACGCGTCCTACACTTCACACGAAAATGCCACGGCTTTGTAAATATTTAGGCTATAACTTAAAATCATCATGAAAATCGTATTGCTTTTTCACAACTACAAGCATACATGGGATTTTTATTCCACATTTCTGTGTGCCTTGGTCCCAGTACTATTTTACTGGGATCTTAGCTTCAGCCTCTGGAACTCTCCTACTTTTCTATCCCAGCTTACTTCCTTGGTGATCTCATCTAGTCTCTTGGCTTTCAGTATCACCAGTATCCTGGCAACTTCCAAGTGTTCATCTCTAGCCCACACCCCTCCCTGAAATTTCACACCCTGTTCAACTGCCCACTCGGCATCTGCACTTGGGTGTCTAACACGCACCTCAGCCTTAACATGGGCAAAACTTTGCTGACCTTTCCCAGCCTCCCAAGCTGTTCATTTCACAGATATCCTCTTCTCATTAACAGTAATGACTAGGGGTGGAATTGTGTCCCCCCAAATTCATATGTTGAAGCTCTAGCCCTTAGTACCTTGTAATGTGACCTTATTTGGGATTAGGGTTGTCACAGATGTAATTAGTTAAGATGAGGTCATAGTGGAATAGAGTAGACTCCTAATTCAATAGGACTGATGTTCTTACATACAGGGGAAGTTGACACACAGACACCTGCATGAGGAGAACACCATTCTTAGATTAAGGCAGAGATGAGGGGATGCTTCTGCATGCTAAGGGACACCAGCAAGTGTCAGCAAACCACCAGAAGCTAGGTGAGAGAAATGGGATTCTTCATCACTGCCTCAGAAGGAACACATCAACTGATCTTGGATCTCCGGTCTCCAAAACTAAGACCATAAATTTCCACAGCTTAAGCCATCTGGTCTGTGGTACTTTGTTATGGCAGCCCTAGCAAACTAATACTGGAATTCTTTCCTCCCAGTTGCTTGGGCTAAAAAACACGGACTCATCTCTGACACTTCTATTTCTCTCACACAACACTTCCCCATCCCCGGATCCATTAAATTCTATTCATATTACCCATAGAACACATTCAGATTCTGATCATTCTCCAAAGACTCCTCTTGTGCCATCTACTTCGAGCTGTCAACACCTCTTACCTGGGATTCTGCAGAAGCATCCTAGCTGATCTTCTGTCTTTTTTTTTTTTTTTTTTTTTTTTGCTCCGTTCCCTGCTCCCTGCCAGCCCCTGCCAGAATGGCCCTTTTTCATTCATTCATTTTCACAAAACCATCCAAAGGGTTTTCCTCACATGCTGAGTGAAAGTCAAAGTCACTCCCATGACTACAGGGCCACAGTCTGTTCCCCAAGATTTCTTTAATCAATGTCCCTTGCCTATTCCACCTCAGCATCATCAGCCCCCTTGCTTCTCACTCAAACACTAGATGTGCTCCCACCTCAGGACCTTAGCATTTGCTCTCCCCGCTTTACCTATATATATATATGTATATACATATATATATATATATATATATATATATATATATATATATGTATATACATATATATATACATACACATACGGCCCCTCATTCAGGTCTTTATTCAAATGTCACTTTCTCAGTCAGGCCTTTCCTGACCACCTTACTGAAATCACCCCTCCCTCCAGGACTTCCTACCCCCTTTTCTCTGCTTCACTTTTCTTAGAGCCAACATTACTATCTAATGTGGTGTCTATTTTTGTCAGTCTGTTTACTGTTTGTCACATCCACACAAGAGACTAAGCTCAGAATGGCCCAGGAATGTCATCTGTGCTATGGGTGGTTGTGTCCCCAGTGCAGGGGACAGTAGCTGAAACCTAGGTGGCCCCAATCAACCTTGGACCAAAGCAGGAACTGACATTTGCACAGCAGTCATCAGAAAACCCACCATGCCATCTATTCAGATGTCCTACTGCAGTGCATAGGTAAAGCAATGTGACTTGTTTCTAATTCACTTGAGAGTGAAAGACATGAAACTGAACCAAACTAAGAGAAGTTGAAGAGAAGGTCTAGCACCAAAAAAATGCACTATGAAATTCAGATTAAAACAATAAATTTGTGAGCCAGGTGTGGTGGCTCATGCCTGTAATCCCAGCACTTTGGGAGGCTGAGGCAGGTGGATCACTTGAGGTCAGGAGTTCGAGACCAGCCTGGCCAACATGGTGAAACCCCATCTTTAAAAAAAAAAGAAAAACAAAAACAAACAAAAAACCAATAAATTTTTTAAATTACAAATTAAAGCTAAACATAAATTCTTTTTCTCTGTGTTCACTACCAACTTTCACTGACAAAACAGTGAATCTGCCTCTGCGTGCGTTTTGGGGGTTTCTGCTTCTTTGATTTATCTGGCACTGTACTGAGCTCCTTTCTAATCCTAACACCACCTCTTCTATTTTTCAGGTTCTTTCTCATCTTTTTAATCACTACCTTTGGAGCTGTACCTTTGGCCATCTTTTTTTTTTTCTTATTTCTGTACTCTATCCCTTAATTATCTCATCCACAACCCCAGCTTCTAACAGCTCGCTTGCTGAATGACTTTCTAAATATTTACAGTCAGCTCCAACCTCTCCCCAGTTCTACAATTTCAAATCTGCCTTATTAGCTTCTTAAACATACCATGCTCAAAACACTATTTACTTTCTTTTTTCAGATTTTGATGTTGTGAAAGAGTACTGCCATCTGCTAGTTATCCAGGTTCAAACCCTGTACTCTTCCCTCAACTATCCAATCTAATCAGTTACCACCACATCCTTCTCAGTCCAGCTTTGCAAACTCTCACATCGCTTCTCTGCACCCCACTGTTGGTAGGTAACGTTGGTTCAGGCCC